TCTCCCCACCTCTCTCCCTCTCTCCCCACCTCTCTCCCTCTTTCCCCACCTCTCTCCCTTTGTGTGTGTGTGTGTGTGTGTGAAATAGTAACAATCTGTGTGAACCCATCTGTGTGGATGTTTCAATGAATTTCATGTGTGTCATTACTGCATACATCTGGGTCCTGGGAATTTCTGGAGATCAGGCCTCATTACAGGTATCACTCATAGCACCATTGCCCTCAAGCAGTGAAATACTTTAGCAATGCCAAAAACATAGTTCAAGCCTATCTTGCACTTGATTCATCTACCAGCATTGAGAATGGGATCAGAAAGAAAGCTTGCTGACTAAAGATACAGAGAGAAAAGAAGAAACATTCAAGTTTTTACTCTGGTTGCGCCAACATTACCACTCTTAAGCATAATCATATCATAAACTTGGATGGACACTGAAAGATAAATTGCATTAGAGGAATCTTTATCTTATGAGTTTTTTTTTTTATCTCCTTTTCGTTATCTTCCGATTGACCCTGATAAAGTACAAGTACACAAATACATAATCAAAAAATCTTAAGCAGCTTTAGTATTTAATTAGTGTAAGCCATACTCCAGTCATGCTGAAATATGAAATTCTAGTTTTCTTTTGAGTTAAAAGCCTTATTTACTAGATTATAAGCAGGATGTTGTAGAAAAAGTGTGCCTCTGAAAAAAAGGCTGCTCTTAATATGAAATTCAGTTTTACAAGAAGAAAATACTTGCTAACATAGGTTTTAATGTTGACAAGACATTGTCCAAAATGAGGGGGAAAGACGCAGGATACCAAGAACACAGATGCATCAATCAACCCAGAGAAAGAGTGAAAAATGATTAGAATTTACTTAATCTCTTGCTCCTTTGTTAAAAGATACATGGGGTGAGGCAGGAGGTGCACGCAGGAAGGAAGAAAGAGAAAAACAGCACAAAGAGGAATATCTCAAGTTAGAAAGACAATAGCCAGGCCCAGTTAATTCTTTTCTGAGGATGCCCTTGTGTCACCTGAAGTACCGCCAGCGGTGTTCATTCTGGTCCTCTTCGGAGTGCTCCTCAACGCCAACTCTGGGCAGCACAAGAAGGGAAAGTGAGTGCACCAGGGACACCAGGAGAGCCAGGAGCTCTGGGGACATGTCTTGGACCATGTCCATCAAAGAATAGACCATCACACTTTAAATATAAAGCCATACCTTCTCTTAAACTGTCTCCCAATCTCTAAACCCAGAAAGGTGGACAAGCTGCTAAATATAAACTGAAAGCAATAATGTTAGGAGTTAGGCAAAATGAAAGTATGAAGCCAATTACAACTGAAAATATGCCTCTCAGAATATAATGTAATTAAATCAGATGATTAAATAAATGCAACTCATCAAAAATGAATGTACAGAAGTTTTCATGAATTTATCCATTTCATAAAGCAAGATACATCCACATAAAAAAATAGAAGACAAAAAGTTAATATTACAAGTGGCTTTACAGAATGAGCAAAAAACACTGTATTATACTAAAAACAGCAATGATAATTGTGAAGACAAAGATGGCTTTTTTTTTCTAGATAAGTAAATCACCTTCCCTGCTGGTCCATCTAGAAGGTCAAGAGCCCAACTTCTACTATTCTCTTTACTTTGTGGCCTTAGGGTTGATATGGTCAATTTCACCTTCCTTAATAATTGCTGGGTTATTCAGAGTACATTTGAACCCTGCCATCATGCTAGAGCTGGACTTCTCAGTTTGGCACCACTGACATTTAGTGCTGGATTAACAATCTGTTGTAGAAGGTTGACCCGTGCATTGTAGCATCCCTGTCCTTTACCCACAAGATGCCAGCAGCACTCCCTCCTCTAGTTGTGACAACCAAACATGTCTCTAGATATTGCCAAATGTTCCATGGGGGGCAAAATTGGCTTTGGTTGAGAACCACTGTGCTAGATTCTACATTCTCTATGGGGGTGATATCACCTTCCAGGATGTAAAAAATGATTATTGGGGGACAAATAAAAGCTTAGATATTACATCACTTTGTAGCTTTCCAAAGGGCTACAGTACAATACATAAACAGATAAAGAGTGTATCCACAGTATTAAAATTTAATTGGAGAAAGCAGTTAGGGGAAAAAATTGCCTGAAGAAGCTCCTTGTAGGGGGGGGGGCAATGATGAAAAAAAGTTGAGAAACACTATGCTACATAATACCTGAATCATCATGCTACTAATATCCCCCCTCCCGAAATATACAAGTGAGAACATGCTTCTTCTTAAGACGGTACTTTGAATTAGTTAAATATTCAGAATATGAATAAACTAGAATATATATATTATCATAACACTGAAGGGAGCTCTTATGGCATAGTGCGTAAGGCAGTTGACTGCTAACCAGAAAGCTGGCAGTTCAAACCTACAAGCCACTCCTTGGAAGGAAGGTTGGGCGATCTACTTCCGTAGAGATACCACCTCGGAAACCCAAGGAGGGGTCGCTATGAGTCGGATCCAACTCGATGGCAGTGCATTTAACACTGAAAAACTATAATGACTACAAAAAAACAACTGGATTTTTTAAATATGAGATTCACTGTCTCTTGAGTAATAGTAGCAGAAGTGATGCTACGAATAGCATTGATAAATGTATTGAGTGCTTATCATGTTCCACATGGTACGTTAATAAGATAATTCTTTATCATCTTTATTTATTATTATACTATAATCATCCCCATTTAACCAGTGAGGAAACTGAGGGTTAGAGAAGTTAAATTAATTGCCCAAGGTCATAGGTAGTAAAAGGTGGTGCCAACATTGCAAATCAGGTTGTCAGACCCCAGCGCCCTAGTTCTTCCCCTTATAGGTAACACCTTAGATTACAAAGTGGCATCTTTAAACTCTTTAAAAATATCCAGTTACAAATACTATTACATAAAAAGCTTAGGGGTTCTCCCTGCCATTATTCCTTATATTATCTTGCAAAGAGCTTTATTGTAAATTCTCATTCTAATACGATTATACCAAGCATGGTGTTCTTACTTGTCCTTGAATGATTTTATTATCGTACTCTGTGGTGTGAAGGTTACCTGCTCATTTGGCTGACTAGGTGACCCCACCACCACCATTTCATGGAGGAAGGGCCTCCAAGAATGACCACCATGCCACTAAAACACACTTAGGACATGTATAAGGCTCATTTGTTGACATACTCCCATGATCATTTTCTTACATTGCCAAAATTATGCCTTTTGTGAATAACAATACTTACTTGAGAGACTAAGAAAAATATTACATAGTTTATACTTTAACATAAAAC